TCTGAATTCAACCATATAAAGAACGTGAACTTTGGCAAAGTATTTTGTGAGATACATGTAATTCTTTGCACCTAGGTCAAAAGTGCAGTTTTGTTTATTGGTTTTCAATTCCTTTCAACTTTTAGTTTTTATTTAATTGGTTTTTATTTTGTTATTTTGTTTTCATTTTCGTTTTTTTCTTTCTCTTAAAAAAATAAAAAGAACCAGAAAAATGTCATAAAACCCGAAAATATTTTCTTTTACTTTGAGTCTTGTGGTAGTCACTTCCCAATTCTATGATGAGATTGAATTTTATTGACAATTTACTGTCAAGAAGTTTCAAGCATGACACTAATTCTTCACATTATTTTTGTGTTAGCCTTATTTTTGTGATTAGACTTGGGAAATCCTTATGCACATAGCCATATTAAGATGAGTTTCGATTGGAGATTTTACATGATTTAAATGGCTAAATAAGTGCTAGTGTAGACTTATATAACCCTCATTATGTAAATTTTTGAGCCTATGCCTTCCTTTCTTGAGTGTTATATGATATTCTATAAATTTCTTGTCTACGTCATTGTGATCTCATTATTCTTTGTTTTGGTACTTGAGGATGTTTAAATTGTTTGCTAGAACTAATTTCATTATCTATTTGAGGCATACTTCGTGAACCACATGGATTCTAGGAAGTAAAATAGGCCTTGTTTCTTTCGTTTGAGCCTTTCTAGCCAACCTGCATCACTTTTATCCCTAGTTAACCCCTCGTGCCTTTGATATAAGCCTTTTTCATTCTTTACCCAATTCTCCTCACCTTCATCTTTCATATGTTTATCCTACACCCTTCTAAGGAGTTTTGAAGAGTATTTTCATTGTTAAGGGAGGATTGCACAAATTGTTCAATCATGTGGAAAGTAAAGGATACTGTTTTTAAAAATAAAATATATATAAAAAAAAAGCTCATTTTGAAGTCTTTTCAGCTCGAGTTATTAAGCCCTGTGAGTGTTTTACATTTAATGCCTTAAAGCTATCTAGCTTGGGAGGCATTGGCCTAACACTCACTACATGGATTGATTAGAAAGCTAATGGAGTTAAAAAAGAAAATTGTGAAGAAAAAAAAAGAAAAAAAAAAGAAAATTCAAGACAATATCAAGATGAAGTTATGTGCTAAAGCGCAAGATGTTATAATTGCATGGAAAGCTCTACTTAGTCCTTAGACTTCGTTTGTTCATCCATATCTTTTTCTAGTCTCACCCATCACCCTAAGCCCCATTACAACCTTAATGAAAGTCCTACTTGATCCAAGGAGAAGTGTGGTTCCTCATGTGGAGAATAGGAGTGGAAGGACTGTGGTCGGATGGTTTAAAAGGTTTTCAAGTATTCGATATCTTTCTATGAGATCTTTTATTCATGTCTTGTACTTCTATTTCAATTATGTGAGTACATCCTAGTACTTTGATTCCTCTCACATATTTATGAGTGACAATAACTAGTCAAATTTTGAGTGCTTTTATTAGAGTGAACATCCATGATGAGATTTGAAGCTGAAGCTTGTTCTTATTTGGTTATTTAACTTGTGTGAAGCTTAAGTTGTGGGTTTTATTGATGTTGGCTATTTCACACACTACACTCCAAATTGTTCAATTAAAGTTTGGTTAACCCTTCAATAAAGTCTTGAGTTATTGTTGCTTATTTCTTGGAAGTTAGCTAATGGGTGGTGATTATCTCTAAGATCAATATTGGGAAGTTAGTCGATCGCTTGTTTGTGTTGAGTCTTTGTTCTTTTGTTTTTATTTTTCATTTCATTTTGCTAGAGGACTAGCAAAATCTAAGTTGTTGGTATTTGATAAGTCCATAAATTTACAAATATATGTACTCTTTATACTTAGTTTTTATAGGAGAATTGGATTTAAAAAGGACTTATTACTTTATTTTCTCAATTTTCAGCTTTCCAGAGTAAGTAGTTGGTTTTTAACAGAAATATGAATTTTTGGTGGAGTTTTTGTACAAGACCAGTTAGAGATGAAAGCTAAGATCTTGAAGATGATTGTGGAATTTTTCTATAATTTTCAGAGTAGCCAATGAGAGTAGTCTTTGAAGTTAAGTCAGCATAAGGTTTAATCTCATCAAAACAGTGTTGCTGTGGAAGAATGATTATTTGAAGACTTTTCTGATTTTTCTCCAGGCGTGCGATATATGACTAGAAAGATAAGACAAAGATCTACAATTTACATATTTATTTTCAGGATTTTCTTGTAGGAGGAACAACCTCAAACGTGCATGCAAAGTAACTGACATGTTATCCCAGTCAAAGTCGGAAGATGAGTCAATTACTTACCCATTTTAGATTTATGTTTTAATATATTTTTCTTTATTTTTGGGTGGCTTGAAAAGCCCAGCTAGAGTAGGAATAGACGTGTGGTGTTTTATTTAAGGATGAGAAACAACTCCCTTGGAGTTACGCAAAGACTTGGAAAGATAGGAGAGGCCAGAAGAGTACCACAATTGGCTAAGTTTTATTTTTTTCTTCCTTATGTTTTTTCTTATGTTGAATTCTATGATTATGTATAACTAATTTTATGTTGCTAGGGCATGATGTAGCCCTAGTATGATAATCTAGTTTTCTTATTTTACGTATCTATTGATTGTCGTTTGATGTTAGTTGATTATCTTGATGCTTGATCACCATCTAGACTTTTAATTGAGTTAATCGGATGCAAATTAGAGTAAATACCATACTTAATTTGAGGCTTGCTTCTTGTGATTAGGATTTGTAATTCGCCTAGGGTAAGTACTATACTCCTAGGATTTACATGTTTGTTGGAGGTTTTCACTGATCTTAATGAGTTTCTATGTATTCATATTTGACCTAAATACTATAGGCGAATTGCATGTAGGAATATACGAGTTAGCCTAAATATCATAGGTAATTCATGAAAAAGGAAAACTAAGCGGTGATATCAAATGGTTAGTTAATAGATAGGTGAATAAGGGGAGTAGGTCAAATATGAATACATAGAAACTCATTACTCTGCTATTCTTCCAGTGGCTGCGTGTTTTGTGTTGACATTTTCGGCAACTCTGAAAATGGATGAAGATGATTTGCCCATATTGAATAGAGATTGTATGAACTTGGCAGGAGAGCTTGGAGTGTGGGAGCTAAAGACCCACAAATTTAACAAATGAGAATTAATGCATGTGCTTGGCTTGGTGTTGGATATGCTTGAGTTTGGGTGTTGAGAACTTGTTGTCTAAAGCTCTAGCTATGGTGGTTTAAGAGTTTCAAGATAAGGAGAATGGAAGGAAAAGCTTGAGTTTTGAAGGCTATGGTGTTTATAGCTTGGTAGAGTATGAGAAGGAAATGCTTGGAGTTTGTTGAGGCCCAAAAAATCCATGGTTGGGCCTGAATAAATTCCTGACCCAAAAACGGCACATTATTGAGAAAAGGCCCAACTTGAAGCACACAAAGATCCACCATGCACGAGTCACACTTCACGTGCCATGCCAAATAAATAATCCTTCATGCTAAGAATCGAGATTAAGATTATTGAATGCGTTAGCTCTACAAATCCATGCTAATTATCCCGTCAATCATCATAATTAAAAAAACATGCCATGTCCAGCGGGAAATCATTGTTGCACACCCAATCACGCTACAAGCCTAAGTGGGCCCAATCCACTCAAACTGGGGCTTGCTTGAGTGGATTGTGGTATGGATGGTAATAAGTTGTCATGAGGCCCATTGATGGACCGAGAAATGGAGGTTCTGGATTGCTTGAGAGCCTCGGAACTCAAGCTCATTTTTTAGGCTCAAACATGTGGGTAAGCATAAAGGAGAAAATAGCCCATTAGCCTAACCAAAATTAGCCCAATACCTCAACAAAATAGGCCAACACTTGGTGAGGTTGGCCCATTTATTTGATAAGCCAACCATTGACCTAGAAGGCTCATATAACTAAAATAAGGACCTGCAAAACCATCAGCACCTGCCTGAGAAACAAAAGTCATGAGAGGATCCATGTACACAAAGTTGCTAGGAAGCTCTAGCACATGATGGAGGAACAAATTTCGAGCAAAGACATTCAAAGGACCAGGGGGTTTTATCACGCAGGCTGCCAGGAAGAGGAGCATCTTTTGAACCAGCATGTATACCCATTTCTTTCCTTTATCAGATCTGGCCATGAAAGAAGGGAGGAAAGAAAGAAAAATGGATGGCTGAGAATATGAGTTTTTCACTAAAGTGGCTGCGGGAAGAGCATTGAGCTCCCAAAAATCTTTGATTTTGTGCAAATGAGCAAAGTAGATTTTACCAAAATAGGATGATTAAAGGGATGAGAGGAGAAAGGAAGAGAAAGACTTGGCCAAATTGGATAGAAGCCATTAGGGTTTCTTGGAAAAGAGTGGTTTCCAGCGCTATAAATAAGGCCTCTTCTACCCAACAAACATCAACCACATCCAGAGAGCAAGCTTCCTTTCTCATCTGCGAAACGTAGCAAATTCGTGCTCCATTAATCTTTTTCCCCCATTTTTCCTCTTCTGGCAGACTGATAGAGCCCTCTCAAGCTGCCGGAAAAACACTCAAGCCACCAATTCTTATCTTTCCCTCATTCTCAACCAAACCTTTCTGCAAAACCCTTTCTCTCATACCTTAATACCCCATCTTTCCTTAAGGAACACTTAATTTTCTCTTCAGTGCTAAACTCATGACAACTTTTCTCACATGCTACAAGCCACTCATGCTAAGCTAAGATTCTACCTGTAAGCACTAAGAATTTATCTGTAAGCACCCATTATTTTCATTGGTGAAGGTAACGAATGTGTTTCCTAAGGCTTTACTATCCTTTCGAAACATTTTGGGGTCAGATCTTTGAACTCAGACACAGGGGGTAATTTCATCCACTTTGCTTTTTACAGCAGCCCACCCCATTTGTAGCTGCCAGGAGAAAAAGGCCCCTACATAAATTGGTGACTTCACTAGAGATTAGGCCATTATCTTCACCAATGCCTCCAAAAAAGAATACCAGAAGCAACAACATGACTTCCCAAGTCAGGCCAAACCATGGTGATTTAGAATGAAGGCAAAATGCCTCATCTAGAGAAGAAGAACGTGCAAGTGAGGGAGCTTTCACCCTCACAGACCTTGTTGCAGCCATCCATTCTATGTGAGAGACTTAGAGGGAAATGGGTCTGAACAAAAGGGACCATCTTTTGTCACCCAAGAAGACGTTATTGCTATGCTAGAAAAAGAACTAAGTCAAAGCCAGGAGGATTAGAAGTACCTTCCTCAGCCGCCGTATCTATCAAGCTTACTCCAACAGCCATATCCTAAAGGCTATGAAGCACCAAGCTTTGTCTTCTTCGACGGAAGGAAAGGAAGCCCGAAGGAGCATGTCGACTGTTTCATTGATGCCTTGGGACCACATGCTGGTGATTATAATCTCCGGCTTCGAGAATTTTTGAAAAGCCTTACCGATCGTGCTTACACATGGTATACGACGTTCACACCAGGCTTTGTTTGCTCTTGGGAAGATTTGGCAAGCAGGTTCTGTAAGAAGTATTTCCAACATGAAGAAAGAGTTACCACCACTCAACTTAACAACACTCACCAAAAACATGGCGAGGATCTCGTGGAATTTGTGTACAGGTTCCAAGACCTAGCGTTGGATTGCTACGATGAGAAAGATGAGGAGGCGCTTGTCGAAATTTGCATCAGTAATATTGTGGTAGATTATAGAGTTTATTAGAGAATATTGGCATAAGTCAATTTTCTTGGCTGCTGGAAGCAGTGAGGAAGAAGAGCCCGTCAAGCCAACGGGATAGAGGACTTGGAGGAGCGAGAAGAAGGAGACGCACCAAGCTTTAGCTATAGATGACAAGCCATCCAATGACTACAACTCGCACAAACGGAAGGATAGGGAGACATACCTGCCTCTACCATGCAAAGATGAAGAATTCCATGCCATCCTTGACATGATGATTGCTGATGGCGCAATCAAGCCCCTCAGACCCTACAAAATTCCTACCAGAGAAGAGAAAATTGATCTTAGATACTGCTGTTATCATCAATTTGTAAGGCATCCAACCACTGCTTGTCAGAGCTTAAGGAGGATTTTACATGCTAAAATATATGAAGGAGTCCTTGAGCTTCCCTTTAGGAAGCAAATCATTGATGAAGACCCCTTGCCAAAATGAAGAGGAAAAGAGGTAGCCGTTGTCATTACATGTTCTGATGATTTGCTCGATGATGATGAACTGTGCCACCCATGGAAGAATGACCCAAAGCCGCCGGAAGCTATGTGGGAACCTTATGGAAACATGGAGAAGGAACCTTCAAGTTACAACACATCGTGGCCACTTGTTGATGGATAAGGTGATGATTCAGGCAAAGAAGTTTTCATTTTAGACATGCCGGAAGAATGCTACTTGAGGGCTTCATAAGGACAGCAGGAAACAGCCGCTATAACGTTTCATAATCTTACAGAGGCTAAAGCGAGCGTGATGGAACATTACTTAAGTCTGAAACAGGGGCCCACAACTTCACAGGTCCTCCAAAGAAACTCGAAGTTCAAGTCACTTTTTGACCAACTTGGCTTTGGGCCTCAAGCAAGAAAAGCAGCTGCTGTAGCTCTCATGAACATCTCTGCAGAGTCTAATCTTCATTGCTTCACTGCTCAACCACCAAGGTCATTCTTGGAAAATGACAATGCTATTGTCTTCATGGACGAAGACATAGAAGTTCCATATCTGGATCATAGAAGGCCACTTTACTTGTAAGGACAGATCAACGATGTGTTTATAAGAGGAGCTTTGGTAGACACGGGTTCCTCTGCCAACATATTGCCTTTGTCTGTGCTTACGGCAGCTGGTATTCCATTATCCAAAATTGGCAATCTCAAACAAGCATCAGCGGTTTTGGGATTAAGAGTGAAGTCACAGTCAGGCACATGCAAGTAAACTTGAAGGTGGGACCAATCCGATCACTTACTAAGTTCTATGTAATAGACGTAGATGTGGCTTACCATACTTTACTTGGAAGGCCATGGCTCAACAAGCATAAACTTGTGGTCTCTACTTACCATCAATGTGTGAAGGGAAGGATTGGGCTGAGGCCACTTCGCATACCAGGAAATCAAGCACCGTTCAACAAAAACGAAGCTCACTACTCCAAGGCAAAATTTTACATCGAGTGCACAAGTGTTGGAAGCAGCCCATCCAAGGATTTCAGGATCTACCTACCTTCATGGACAGAAATTCGTGATCTAAGCAACGAAGAACTCATAACCATTGTTGACCGAGAAAGAAAGAGACACTCGGAGGTCAACAACCATGCTTACAATCATCCCCAATGCTTGAAAGTGACACTGCCAGACAGAAGCACTGTGTACCGCTTATGACAAATCGTGTTCTACTGGAAAGCCACGAGTATAGAGGAGAAGGGATGCAAGCTTTGTGCCTTTGGCATCCCCTTTGCCTACAGCACTCTCATGCCTAGCCACATTGCCTTGCAACATGCAAGCTTTTTATTGCCTTCAGCATCTCTTCGCCTTCGGCACCCCCGTGCCTAGTCACATTACCATCTAACATGCAAGCTTTGTGCCGCCTTCGGCATCCCTTCACCTTCAACACCCCCGTGCCTAGGCACATTGCCCTACGACATGCAAGCTTTGTCTCTTCGGCATCCCATTTACCTTTGGCACCCCAGTGCATAGCCACATTGCCCTGCAACATACAAACTTTGTGTCGCCTTCGACATCCCTTCGCCTTTGGCACCCCCGTGCGTAGCCGCATTGCCTTGCAACATGCAAGCTTCGTGTCGCCTTCGGCATCCCTTCTCCTTTCAGTGCCTAGCCACATTGCCTTGCAACATGCAAGCTTTGTGTCGCCTTCGGCATCCCTTCGCCTTCGGCATCCCTTCGCCTTCGGCACCCCCATGCCTAGCCACATTACCTTGCAACATGCAAGCTTCGTGTTGCCTTCGGCATCCCTTCTCCTTCGGCACCCCCGTACCTAGGCACATCGCCCTGCGACATGTAAGCTTTGTGTATTCGGCATCCCTGAAACCCCCGTGTCTAGCCACATTGCCTTGCAACATACAAGCCTTATGTCACCTTCGGTACCTCCGTGCCTAGCCACATTGCCTTGCAACACGCAAGCTTTGTGTCGTCTTCGGCATCCCTTCGCCTTCGGCACCCCCTTGCCTAGGCACATCACCCTGCGACATGCAAGCTTTGTGCCTTCGACATCCTCTTTGCCTTCGGTACCCTCGTGCCTAGTCATATTGCCTTGCAATATGCAAGCTTTGTGTCGCCTTCGGCACCCATATGCCTAGGCACATCACCTTGAGACATGCAAGTTTTATACCTTTGGCACCCTCATGCCTAGGCACATCGCCTTGTGACATGCAAGTCTTATGCCTTCGGCACCTACTTTCCCTTTAGTACCTTCTCTGCGACATGCAAGTCTTCTACCTTCGTTGTACTGTGATGCCCTTCGGCACCCTTACATCACAAAATAGGGACTTGCAAACCACTTGGCTTTTTGTTGCAAGTTCCCTTCCTCGAATGTCCTTCTTACCCGGGAACTTGGGGACTATGGTGAGTGCACTATACAGTTTAGAAGATGAATTATGGTGTTGCTCGACCAGTGCACTTAAAATTACAAGTCCCCAATCAAGAAGTACCTTCTTACTCGCGTACTTGGGGGACTACTATTGGTACCGTAACTGACCAAGCAACTAGCTACGCTAGATCATCCACGTGCCATACTTTGAGAGGTCATCACTTTAGCCAAAGAAGCATTACCATAAGTCACAACTCTAAGCAAAGCAAGAGGAGTCCCATATCTGAAAACTACAGGAAATGAAGACACCCCCTCACCTATAAGAGGAGACCACTCTCCACTTAGGAGGGGATCCCTGGGCTGGGCTTTGTCTTTAATGGGCTTCCCCCTTCTTATCTTTATATTTGGGTCCAACCCCATGTACAAATGTAATCATACATTATTATAATGAGAACATACTTCTGTGTGGACATAGTCCATTCATTAAGGGTGAACCATGTATATCTCGTCTTCTCTATATTTATTGTTTGCCATAATCTTCACACACATGCTAAAGGTCCTCACATATGCTAAAGGTCCTCACCTTCACCCATCATCCACCATTCCACCTCTATCTAAGTTGACCCTCCCAAAAAGAGCATCAACATAGCTAGTTCTATATGTACTTCAAAACAACCACATTTTGTAAAGGTATATGTAATTTTGAAGCTCTGCATATATGTGCTCGAGGTTGAGAGCGTTTATCCCACATTAAAAATTTAAGGGACTTGGCGTGAGTTTATAAGGAGTTGGGCTACTCTCCCCATTGCCAATTAGTTTTGGGGTGGAACCTCAACTTCCTTCTTGCAAGCAACCATATGTGTCCAGTATCTTCTCCTCAAAGACTTGATCCTCGATTGATAGCGATAAATTAATAGAAAACTATTTATTTGTACATATTACTAAAAACAATAAGTAGTTAAATTTGTGAGGTTTTTTTTTTTCGAGAGTTGCAATGGGCTTATTGGACTGTTGTGAGGTCCTGAAGTTGAATATGTGCTACAGATTTTGATATACAGTGGGTACTAGAATGATTTTGCTGTGTTGGAAGTGCTTTTCCTGAAGTTGAATATGTGTTGCATGTAGTGGAATAGTGTTGGAGAAGATGCTAGAGGTGGTCTATGGTGAAGAGGAGCTACGTACAAGCTTGGCATGAGAGCTTGTTTCAATGAATCGATATGAAGATTGGCTTGAGAGGTTCATGGTGTGGGAGCTAAGTCTCCATATAAGTTTAGCAACAGAGTGCTTCTACATGCAGCTTCAATTAGAACAAGCTGTTGGAGGTGAGATGCATGTTTTTTTTTGGGTCTTGGGATGATTTTATGACTGATGTTCAAAGCTTGGAGTGGTGTTATGAAAGAAGAGGAGCATGATGGAGGGGTTAAGGCTTGGGTTTTGTGTGTTTACGGCAGGTAGAGGATAAGATTGCCTCCTCTGCCATTCTCTGCTTCTTCTAGGTGCCTTACAAATGGATGAAGGGTCTATTTATATGCAAAGCCTTTGCTCTGTTTATGCATCCGTGAGTGTATAGTGCACAATAGTTGGTTTCTCCGTGAGTGTGCTGTAATTGATAGTGTGTACAGTAATGAATAGTAATGGGTACATGACCGTACAATGATGATTGTGTGCACAGTAATGAACAGTAATGGGTAGTTGTGGTTTAAGCTGGAGGAAGAGGCTGGGAGTTCTCTCTGCTTACCCGTGTAATTAGGCTCAAGAAAGTG